GGATTCATTAGAAAGTGAGGTACATCAGTTAAACCAGCTATCAAACAAAGCAGCACCATATGTAGATGAAATATCCACTGAATTGTATAAAGCTGAAGTTAGTTAAAGTGCTAACAGTTATATGGGAACAAATACTAGACTAGAAATCATGGCCTAGAAATGGTAAAATGGTAAAATTTGCCATGAATCCTTGGGAAATACATTGGTACAGAAATTTGGTAAATGAATACATAGACCGATAATGAAAAAGTTGGATGTAAGAGAATGCACAAATTACCATACTATTGCAGTAATTGCTCACATAAACAAAGTTTTTTTACAAATAAATTTACAGCCATGCATGGAGAAAGACATGCTAAGGTTTAAAAAAGCCTTTAATTATATAGATCATGCTGGAATGTGGAAGATTAATTTTTCTTGATTAAATCAGATTATCCTTTGTTACAGTGAACAGGAACCCATTCTAAGAACTGAATTCAGAGAAGCATGATTCTGAAAGGAAGGGAATGAGATAGGTGCAGATTGTCACCTTACCTGTTTAACTTATACAGCAAATACAAGAATGGCAGGACTGAAGAGGCAACAGATGGAATCAAAAGTGGAAGTTGAAACATTAACAATTTGTGACATGCAGATTACACCATTTTATAAATTTACAGTAAAGAAGATTTAGAGGAGCTCATCAGCGTAGAAATGGAAAGTAAAACTCTAGGTTTGGGTTAAATATTAAGGCGGCAAGGATAATGTGAACCAGAATGCAGTTGATGGCAAAGAAATGAAGGTGATAGTTTTCTTTTCCTGACTCAAGAACAGATAAAGATGAATAGTATAATGAAGTAAAAAAAAAAAAAAAAGATAAATAGTAAAATGAAAAAAAAAAAAAAAAAGATAAATAGTAAAATGAAAAAAAAAAAAAAAAAGATAAATAGTAAAATGAAAAAAAAAAAAAAAAAGATAAATAGTAAAATGAAAAAAAAAAAAAAAAAGATAAATAGTAAAATGAAAAAAAAAAAAAAAAAGATAAATAGTAAAATGAAAAAAAAAAAAAAAAAGATAAATAGTAAAATGAAAAAAAAAAAAAAAAAGATTACTCCTAGGGAGGAAAGATCATAAAAGACACAGATATTTTATGGAAATGGATGACTTCAAACTGGACATCAAGAAAGTATGAGAAAGAAGATAGATATCTTTGAATTACGGTTTTGGAGATGGTTATTAAGACAATAATAATAAATAACAATATCATGGACTGCAAAAAGATCCAGTCAACAACTGATCCTTGATGAAATAAAAATTGGCTGTTCCCCTGAGATTATGATCACCAAACAGAAACTCACACTAAAGATGGCAAGAATTTGTCCATTCAGTTGCCTGGGTTCTGGTGTGATTCAATGGTACTTTTATAATTAATAAAGGGCCATGCACGCTGGTGATATAAAACAATTGTACAGTAAATGTTAACAACAGGAAAAGTCTTGAATGCAGTAACAACACAAAGTATATTTCCAGAGGAATGGCTGCATCCTAAACATACCTCCTGTTCTTTTACAGATGTGATCTTTTGTGGCATCATTTTACTACTAAGATAGCAAAACATAGGTTTTAAATTCTAGGATAGTAGGTTGTGTCCATTTCCTGCCCCTCCTGGGACTGAAACAAGAATAGGAAATCACAGCCCCCAAATATCCTTGTTTTACAGTCTGCAATCTATTTTTTTTTTCTTTATAAAAGAGATTATTTATATGTCTGGGCAGCTCTAT